TTAAAAAAGAAAACAACTGTGTGTATCAATCTTGTTGGCAAATATCATAAACTGACTATATATTGGCTTTTACTTAACTGCTAAATCCAGATTATAATTTAACTACTAAATTTAAATTTATCAGTTAGCTCAATTTTAGACCATTCGAAATTCTAATATGTGACATCCCTTACAGACAATAGCTCTCCATATTACTGGTCTACTCTCATAGGTGGAACAAGGACGCCTATATATAAACATGGCCATCAAGTACTTCACAAAGTGGGCTGAGGATTATCTATTGGTTTATTTGTCATGGATGAAGCATTACCATAGTACTGGATAACCTGGTTTGGAGTACCTGAAGAGATCCACGTAGATCAGTGAACTAACTTAATAGTCAACTCTTCTTAGAGTTGTGTAAAGTGTTAGGGGTGATAAAGACACACACTTCACAATACGATCCCAGTCTGATGGTATAGTAGAGTGGATAATACAGACTGTCAACCATATGCTTGCTACGTTTGCTAATCCAAACTGAACTTATTGGGATGAGCCCTTAAAATTACCATATGCAACGATTACATATGAGTAGAGCTCATCAGGTTATTTGCTGAAAATGCTCATGCTTGGGTGGGAAGTCGTGCTCCCTGTAAACATAATTTATGGTCCTTCCCTAGATTATATGTCCCACAATATCCACAAGAATATGTGTAGTGATTAATTAAGGTCGGGCTGCTTTAGTTGACAAACATGCATTTGCATATTAACAGCTAAGAAAGTCCACAACATGACAAAATAGATGCCATGACAAGACAGTGAAAAAGTGAATCCACTAAAGTGTAGACTGGACAAGGCTTTGGTATGTGCCAGAGCACAGAAGTCACTTGGCTCTAGGTGGACAGGTCCCCATCCTATACTCTGATAAGTTGGTCAATTAATGTACAAGACACAGCAGTCAAGAGGTAGAACCGCATAATACACATTGATCTGCTGCACCTGTATGCTACCAGTGAACCTTACTAGAGCTGACTTGACCAGGAATCAAAGGAGGAAACCAATGAGTCAGAAGAGGGCAAGGACACTGTTTTATCCTACTCTGAGGAGTAAACTGAGAGTACTTATGGAGCCATTCAGGATGAGTTAGATGAGGAAGTTCCAGATCAATAGGTTAGAGAAAGCTCCAATAGTTGAACAAATAACTAGCAATGCTCCCTGATAATTATGGCTGAGAATAAGCTCAATGTTCAAGCAGTGAGGATGGTAATGTGTTCAAAAGATCAATATCTGAAAGGAAGTGGAATTTCTTGCTTTCTGAGCTAGTAGGTGGTATTGTAAGGCACCATGTACGCTCTACACTGTATGGTTGCCACTCGAACACTTGGAGTTAGGATGGTTTGTTAATCCTGGGATCAGCTGGACCAAAAAGGACTTTGTGATCCTTACTTTCTGAGCTAACTAAGAATGTTTCACTACAAGAGCTATCAGTCGGATATGGGTTATAGCTACTCAATTACCACAGTCTAGAATAGCTAGTGCAAATATATGTAGTACCTAGTACATCAAGAGCTTTCGAAACTGATGATGATATCTAGGAGTTTGGAAACTCTGTTGGAAGAATGTTGCAACCTTTACTTTCCAAGATATCAAGTGATATTCTTTGGAAAAAATTTATCTGATATTTCATGAGAATCACACACCATATTTAGTGGGGAGTAAGATCTCTTTAGGATATATTGCATGATCTTCACTACATATTTCCCATTACCCCTGGAGAGTATATAAGTTATCCTTGTGTACTGAGGTAGTTTGTTTCATTTAAGTATATAGTGATATATAGAGTAGTTGCAGCGTGAATATTAGTCCTGACTTATGATAATTTCAACTGAAAATTCTTAGTGTAGATGAATTCTATCAGTAATTATTTATTTTTGGATGCCATAAATAAAGGATGAGTTTGTTTGAAAGCTTAGAGATGACAGCACATTATTATACTGCAGCTATTGACATATAGTCTGTATTGTGTAACCTGAGAAGATTGCCCAAGTAATTTGCAGGGAAACCAGGAATCTGCTTTAAGGTATTAGCTTATGAAGACACATGAATGTGAGAATATAAGTGTATAAATGAATATATATGTTTGATCTTACATGCATGTATGAACATTAGAGAAAGTAGTTCATGAGTGTTGTATAACAACTGAGAAAATTACATAAAGAACATATATTAAGCAACATGTAAATGGAAAGAAAGAATTTTGATTTGTATATTTAAACCTAGTGATATGAGATTAAATATGAATAGTAACCTGTGGGGTATTATTTGCAAATGAAGTGTACCTGTTATAATTTAATTCTGAAAAAATGCTTCAATTTTGATACTGAAATATACAGCGTGTAGCGAGTTTTCATGAAAAGATAACAGTAATAAAGAATCTCACGCTACATCTAAGATAAGACTGTTTACCTGTTGTTTCTCAGGAAGAGTAGTGTAAGATATATCGCTTGGATCAACTTGAAATATTTTTAATCAAGCAGGTTGACATAATTTACAAGTACAAAGTTTTCTAAATATTTTCTTTAAATTGTTTCAGTACAGAGTGCAGTTAAAGATGCATGAAAATGCCGGCTGCAAATGTACTAGATGGAGTGAAAATAACACCTTCATGGTGAAACATTGAAAACTACTAGCTAGTATTAAACTTGTATCTGAAAGTCGCAAGAGATATATAATAAAAGCACTGTTGGCTTCTAATGGCCATAAGTGTAAGTTATCATCTGCTAATATGAATCAGCTTATGTGTGTGTGTGGGAACCAGTTTGTACTCTTTACCCCATTCCTTTCCTACTGAAACCAGATCCTGTTTACATAACAACCTAGCAGCAAAGGCAGAATTGGTTCTGGGTTGAAGGGGGAGATGTGTTGGCCATTGTCACTGGAATGACAACAGGAAGCAATACAAAGGTTTCAATCAAGCAGGAATCAACTGAAGCCTGAGGAACAAGAAGGGATACATTTTCCACAAACAAATGGGACATAGGTACATATGAAACCTGTAAAAATGTCACTTAAAAAAGATAATCTATTAAAAACTGTCTCTAAAAGAAATTATTTAGAGGAATATAACGGTTATAACAGAACAGCTATGACATTCTCTCAATCTCCACACCTGGCTAACCTTCCAACGAATTGGAATTTATCTTACCTTACATTTTCAATACAGATTTTTACTATATCTGATCATATTTTTTACCATTTTGTCTGTCTTGTTTTTCCACTAGCCAGGATATTATTTCCTCCTTTGTTTATAATCAAGTTACAATGGAAAGAAGTAATTACGTAATGTGCTCAATATTTTCTATTTGGCATGAAAGCTAAACTTCCTCATCAACCAAAAGAAATCTGGAACCAGTTAGTTATTGGGATGGTGCTGAAGACCCTCAAGACTGGAAGTCACATTCAGCCAAAACTTCATCTTTGGAACCCAAACTCTCACCTGACAAAATCCCCATTAGGCCCCAGCAAATCCATTGCAGACTACCACTTCTAAATCCGTCAAACTAAACTTCGAAGAAATACAGCCACAACCAGGAATCCCAGCAGGTGTCTAGATATAAAGAGCCTCTGCTGAGTTGTCCCATCAAATAGTGTTTGAATAGCACTCGGTGAAAGTACCAGATCTATGCCCACCTCCTGCAAGACCACTACATCCTAGAGCCAAGAAGACCTTCCCAGAGTTGAAGCTGCTCTTAGTAAATACAAAGTTACCTATCAAATAAAGAAAATTGAACTTAAATAGTTTGGTAGATGATTTAGATCTGATCTATTAAAGACAATAGTTGTAATCCAGTTCATCGTTTGTTTGTTTGTTATGAATTTCGCGCAAAGATACACGAGGGCTATCTGCGCTAGCCGTCCCTAATTTAGCAGTATAAGACTAGAGGGAAGGCAGCTAGTCATCACCACCCACCACCAACTCTAGGGCTACTCTTTTACCAACGAATAGTGGGATTGATCGTCACTTATAACGTCCCCATGGCTGAAAAGGCGAGCATGTTTGGTGTAATGGGGATTCGAACCCGCGATCCTCAGATTGCGAGTCGAGCGCCCTAACCATCTGACCATGTACACTGTGTTTTGTTAAATAGATGACATTTCAAGGCTCTTGCTTACCTCGCCATGAGTCTGCATTCGAGCTGCTGTGTTGACAGTGTCGCCAAATAAACAATACCTTAACATTTTTCTTCCAACAATCCCAGCTGCTACTGGTCCCGTGTGAATACCTGTGATGAATTGAAAAAATGTGGAAGAAGACTGTTGAAAAGTTTTCTCCTAGAAACTCATGTATTAGTTCATATAATTGTTATATTTACTATACCCTATTGAACATTTTCGGTTTACATACAAATTTCCTAATAACCAAAGAGAACTCGTCAAAAAACATAATTCCCAGCACAATATCCAATTAAACTTACTACATGTATAACATACGGCGAGTTTTGCAGCAAAAACAGTAAGAGAAAAGACAGCGTTTCTGGAAATGCTCTTATCTCAATAATATCATTATATTTCAAACATATTTACTGAAACTCATAGTTTCTAAAAACATTAAAATGTTTTGGTATATCTCATTTGGTTGTTTTACATATCTACATTATTCATTCTCAAGCATGAAAATAGGTGGCGCGCAGATTCTATGTAAGTTTGAAAATTAAAATTGTTTTTGTTTCTAAAACATATTGTTAAAAAAAGAAAACCATTAGTTCCTACATTTCTTTCAACTTTTTTACATTAATTTAAGAAAAATAACCTCTATATAACCTTCATATGTTTGGTATATGTCTGCTAACATTCTAATAAATATGTTTGGTTGCTTGTTTTATTTTTATAGGCATTTCTGTATGTATTTCGTATATTTTAGAAACATGAAACTTGAAGGTTAGTTTCGTAAAGCTTGTGTTAGTGTACAATTAACTGCCTAAAAACTTAAATGTCTGGCAAGTTTTATATCATCGTTAAACTAATAGTTTGGAAGTTGTTTTTTAGCACAATGCTACACACTTGGCTATATTCTGTCTCCCGCAGAAAATCTAACCCTGAAACTTTCTATCTATTAGAAAGCGCTCGAGTTTTGAGTCTCGTTTGAAAACCTTTATAACCCTGTATTTTAGTATTGTAAGTTTGTAAACTTACCGTTGACTCATCGAAGGACACTGCTTTAAAAACCATGGAAACCAAGTTATCAATTAACAAGTAAGTTTGTTGACGATATAATGTGTAGTACCATCAAACACTTTAAGAATAGAAGTTTGAATATCGTCTCGGCATCTACTGATTAGTTTTAAAAGCAAGATAATTTTATTTAAGTCAAAGTTATTAAAATAAGTCTGTTTTGGATAACATCGTCACTAGAGGGTTTAAAATAATAATAATATTACACTATCTTAACATCATTTGAAACTTTAGTAACTAAACGGCGTGATAGGATTGATATAATGTATTAAATATGGCAATCAAACCTCATTCTTAAAACGAATATCAGTATAACACTTTCAAATAATAATATTTGAACGAATGCAGATCATCAAAGAAAATGGATTGAACATGGTGCTCACAATTAAGTTAAAATATATTTTACTCGATCTGTATTTGATATCTGTCTCTTGAGACTTTATTTTTAAAATAGTTTATCTGTTCATTACTGAAATTTGGATAAATTCTTACAATATTTTACTAGGGTACTTTGATACTGCGTTGCCTTTCAAGACACAAACCAGTGATTCAACAGATCATTAAATGTGCTATTAAATTGTTCAGTCAATCCAGTTGAGCTTACCTATGCGTATCATAACCTTCTTCCCGAAGTAAAGCTTATCCAGTAAAAAGATATGTGACATCATATCAAGAGCGGCCTCAGCCACGTGGGAAGCATGATGTCGGTGTTTTTCTGGTGCTCCACTTACTAGCAAGTAAACCTGACCTACTGTCTCTACCTGTAAAGAAATAAAGCGTAGGATGGAAAGGGCTTATTGCGTGTATCCAGAGTCATGTGAACAACGATTATTTCTAAGAAAAAGGGGATATTATTCTTCTAACAGTACACAAACTGGCCAACAGATTATCAGATAAACAATATTCCAGAGTGATAGATAGAATACTGCATACAGACAGATAGGTAGTGTGTGTGTAATATTTTAGTTTGAAAATGAAATTATTAAATGTTTTCAATTTCTCTTGTTTCATTCAGTACAGTGAAATACACTTCGTTATTCTCCAGTTTTAT